GTCCCGGCGCCGCGGAGCAGGACAGGTGCTCCAGCGCGCGCTGCGAGCAGCCCCATGGCGCCTGGAGGCGGCCGGGAGAGTCGACACCACCCAGTCCCACAAAGGCAGAGATCCAGGACGAGGCGGTGGTTGCCGTGGAGCCGGTGGCGAAGGAGGAGATCCGGCGGCCTGCGACGCCGCCGTGGCAAGGGAAGCGGGCGCGGGAGGGCCCGCCCGGCGAGCGGGGCCCCGCCGAGCGGCCGCCTCTGCTCAAGCAGCAGTACATGGGACGCACATGGACATACTAATACTATATGTCCTCCTTGGAGGCGCGCGTCCGACCCGAACATATAATATACCCATCTTGTCGTATATCGTTTCCCGAGCGGTGTGGCCAGAAAGCGCCCGCCACGACGCATATACTATAAGATTTCTCGGTGCGCGCGTCGCCCCTGGGGGGGCGACGCACATATAGTATAAGTATGTTGGGGTGTTGCCGAGTACATGGCCATGCGTGTCTTGGCTGAGACGGTGGACAAGCAGTACCACGTGCAGCAGGGCAGCAAGGCGTGCAAGGATGAAGGCCCTTCTGAATCGAGCTCAATTTCGCCATTGTCGAGTTCACCCCCCACCAGCTCGCAGGAAGTCCCCCTTCCACGTCGTCGGCATGGCGTTCCACGGGGGCGGGAGCAAGTGAGGGTGCCCAGAAGAAGCATGCGCGAGCGTGCGGAGTGTTCCTGTCTGTCTCCTGCTCGTCTTCCCTCCTCCTCCTCCTCCTCCTCCGCCTCCTCCGTCTCGCCTTGGCTTCGGTGTGGAGGCGCACGTACATTCGTCAGTGTGTGTATGCACAGTCCGTGGCATGCAGCCCGGAGAGTGGGCAGACTGCATCGTAAACTCGGGTATTCGGTTGACTGGTATAACCGCGATCGTGGTGGTGGTCCGCCCCCTGGTGGGGCGGATTTGATCACCCAAATCCCTTGGGCCCACCGCTGGTTTCGCCGACGGCCGGTTCTTCGCCCGGCTGGCTTCGCCGCCCGGCGAAAGCAGGCTCGGTCGGCGAAGCCGGCCCCGCCGGCGAAGCGAGCTCCGTCGGGCTGGCGGACTTGCTCGCCTGCACCCCTTGGTGGGGCTCGCGGGTTCCGTGGAGGGCCGGGCGCACGGGGAGGCCCCAAGGGGCCCAGCCGTGCAGGAGGGCGCCGTGCTGCGGCCGTCCGAGCGCTCGCAGGCGACACTGCCAGCGCTTGTGAGCGGCAGGGGATCCAGGGAGTCCTCCTTCTCCTGCCTCCCCCTCCTCCTCCTTCTCCTGCCTCGTCCTCCTCCTCCTCCTCCTCCTCCTCCTCCTCCTCCTCCTCCTCCGCCTCCTCCTCCGCCTCCTCCTCCCTCTCGGCGAGAACGGCCTGCGAACTGCGACCGCCCGCGGGGCTGCTGGTGGGGGGGGGGGTCCTGGGGTCAGGATCGCCGACGAGGCAAAGGTTCAGTCGGGCAAAGGTTAAGTCGGATTTTGGCCGAAATATTAAAATTAGTCAAACAGTACCCCCAAATGGTCAAAAAATACTCCAAAAATCGTCCCCTCTATTTTTTGACTATTTTGGAATATTCTTCCTGTAGAAGGACAAGCCCGACGTAAGGCAAAGGCCCAAAAGCTGTCGAACCTGGTGGCGCCCCCACGAGGAGGCGGCGCGAGGGAGGTGGGCTTCTAAGAGGCGGCAGGGCTTCTGTGACTACCTACCAGACCACCCCAACCCAACCCGAAGTCCCGAATTTGACCCGAATTTCGGGTTGGGGGGGGAACAACGGGTTCCATGTGTTTCTTCAATGTTCCCCGACCCCCCCACTGGAAATGGAGGGGAAATTGAGGCATTCAGGTTAGGTTTGGGTCGTTTAGTGGGTGGTGATTCTGGAAAGGCAGGGGGCGTTCTTAGAAGCCCGCCTCGCTTCTGAGAAGCCTTCTTAGAAGCCGCCGGTCCCTTCTAGGAAGGCCCCCTGCCTCCTGAGCCCCGCCGCCTTCTCACAGGCCCACCTCCCTCGCGGCACCCCCTCGTAGGCGCCACCAGCGAACAACTGTTGAGAAGTGCGCCGGCCAGCTTCGCGGCATCGCCCCGCTCCTCTGCTTGGACGCCCGAAGTGGGTACGCAAAGAGTGGGTGCAATGCCCAGCAGCAAATGCTGTCCCAAGCCAGCAGCGGCCGCTGTTGGGCAGGCGGCCGTCTGTCTCAAATGTGCACAGGCCGCGGCGGCACCGACGGCAAGACCGACAGCGAGAACTGCTGTCTGGCATTTTACCCATTCTTTCCGTACCCATTTCGTTCGTGCCGTCTCTGGCGCAAGCCAACCGCCCAATCTTAAGTCGGGCCTGTCCTCCTGCCGGGGGATTTTGGACGAAAACAAAAATTACCAAAAATACCCCAAAATGGTTAACAAATACTCAAAACATAGTCCCCTGACTACTTTTTGACCATTTTTGAACATTCCCCCTGTAGGGGGACAGGCCCGACTTAAGTCTGGCATGGTACCATTCTGTCCGCACCCGTTTCGTTCGCGCCGACTCGCGGGCCGACTCTGTTTTCAGCGGTAGCGCCATTCTGAAAACAAGTCGTCTTCCATCCTTGTAGCTGGTGCTCGCGTTTTGGACAAGTGTGCGCGTCCTGAAGCGAGGGCCACCCCCTCCGCCCTGGCAGCTGTTGCAGGGTCTCTCGGGCAAATTTGCGCGGCGCCAGGGCGCGAGGTCCCTTATGGAAAAAGTGGGAAAAGAGGTCGCCGACTCAGAGGGAGGAGGAGGAGGAGGAGGAGGAGGAGGAGGAGGAGGAGGAGGAGGGAGGAGGAGGAGGGAGGGGGGGGGGGAGGGGGGGAGGGGGGGAGGAGGGGGAGGGGGAGGAGGAGGAGGGGAAGAGGAGAGGAGGAGGAGGAGGAGGAGGAGGAGGAGGAGGAGGAAGGAGGAGGGAGAGGCCGCGAAATCGACGTGTCAGGGTGCGAGGCCGCGAAATCGACGTGTCAGGGCGGGAAAAAGAGGTCGCCGACTCAGAGGGAGAAGGTGGGAAAAAGCAGGAAAAAGAGAGCCAGCCGCCCAGGCCCGGGCCGTGGCGCGCGGGGCGCGGCAGCCCTCGCACCCCGCGGTCGAGTCACGGGAGGCCCTCGCGTCTCGGCCCCGGGGGCCTCGGTGCTCGGGCCTCGAGGCGCGGGCCTCCGACAGCAGCGGGTCGGGCGAAAGGGGGGGGGATAGCAAAGGGGGGGTTTTCCCGCGCCGGAGACGGCTATGTATCGAGGAATGGGCCCCTCGGTGAGGCCAAAACCAGCTGCATGCAGCAAATTTCGTACCCCCCCCTTTCCCAATCCCCCCCTTTCGTCCGGCCCGACAGCAGTTCTGTTAAGTCGGGCCTGTCCCCCTACAGGGGGATTTTGGAGGAATACTAAAACATAATCAAGACATGCTCCAAAGATGCCCAAAAATACTCCAAACATAGTCCCCAGACTATTTTTTGACTATTTTGGGATATGCCCCCTGTAGAGGGACAGGCCCGACTGAATACTGCGGTCTCAGTCCAGGCGCTCTTGCGTCCGGGACAATCCAAACATTGCCCGGTCGAACAATGACCCCTGGGGATGGGGTCGGGACCTCTGAGGCCGCACACGTCGGACGCCTGAGTCCTGGATCCTCGCACACAGACCAGGGGGGGCCCTCTCGCTGTCCTCCTCTCCTGTCCTCCTGACCCCTTACCCTCGGGTGCGCCCAAGAGGAGTTCGGGGAGGAGGAGTTTAGCGCCTCATAGCCAGAGGCATGTGCGCGGACGAGCGGGTGGACCGAGGGACGCACTGACAAAAAATGGGGGCACAGAACCTGGGGTACTTCATGGCTCTGACTATGGTACTCCAGAATTCGTAATAAAGGGGGGGGGGTCTCATTTCGGGGGGGGTCTCTTCCAGGCTATCTTGGAGGGCCTGGGGGGGTCTGGGGACGATGTTTTGGAGGGGTCTCCCAGGGGGGGGGTCGAAAACTTCTCGTCTTGGAGGGTCCAGACCCCCTCCCTTTTACTACGAAATCTGGGGTACTTCATGGCTCTGACTATGGTATCCCACCCCCTCGACGCCCGCTGGCTCACTCTCGGGCGATGCCTCGGGCCTTCCGCGGCGGTTTTCGGCCCGATCTGGGCAGCCCCAGAAAAAACCTCCTCGGCAAGGCGCATATCTGCCCGGAGGCATCCGGACGCGAAAAAACCTCCAAGAGTCAACGAAGGCTTCCTCCCACCCTCCCCCATCCTCCCTTTAAAGGTGCCCCAGAACACACAAATAAATACACACAAATAAAATATTCCCCATATTTTCACATGTTTTATGGGTTTTTGTCTTACCCCCCACTTCCCATATTTTCGCATATTTTCCTGGGAGCGACGATTAATTGTGTCTGTGTGTTTTTTCCCCTCCTGACCCTTCCTCGGCCACCTTCCCCCTCCTCTTTGACTCGCCGACTGCGAAGCGGGGATTCATCCATAACCGCCGCTCGGGGGTCGATTTTCAATGACCTCGCCAGGCAGTGGATACAAGTATGTCTGGCCCCCCCGGGGCCGGAATATATCCATGGCCACCGGTGTCGAGGTTGCCGAAGAACGACCCTCCAGTAGTTGGTGAGGACTGCGAGGAGGACAACGATAAATCCCCGCCTCCGACTGACGCCCCCAAAAAGCCCAACACCTGATCCCCTCACCCCTGCCGGCAATACGAAAAGATTGGCACGATCCTCATCCTCCTCCCCCTCATCCGCCTACTCCATTTTCCCCTCTCTTGCTCCTGTTCCTCCTCCTCCTTCACTTTTGTGTCCTCCCTTCCTTCTCCTCCTCATCCTCCTGCTCCTGCTCCTGTTCCTCCTCCTCCTCCTCCTCCTCCTCCTCCTCCGCCTTCTGCTTCTGCTTCTGCTCCTCTTCATCCTCCCCCTCCTCCTCCTCCTCCTCCTCCTCCTCCTCCTCCTCCTCCTCCTCCTCCTGCCGCGCTCTCTCACAGAAGGAGGCTCGAAGGTCAGGCGGCGAGAACCAGCGCGTCGGAGTCCCCGTACCGCCACGTCCACGTGCGCTGGCGCTTCCTGCGGACGGCGACGGATGCTGGAGGAAGACGCGGGCAATGCTTGGACGCGGGAGGCTCAAACAACTTCGCGTCGTCAACGAATTGCTTTGGGCGATCACCATCCAAAAAACGCGAGGCAGGATACCCAGGGAGTACCAGCACACTTTTAGACCCGGCGGCCGCGGTGTGCAGTCGAACGCACGAGGCAGGACACCCATGGGAACATCGCCACGCTTTGGACCTGGCGGCCGCGGTGTGCAAGGCGTGCGAGGCGGGTCGGGAGCTCTGATCTCTGAATCTGACAGCCCCTGTCGGGTAGGAACAACTCAAGGGGCACAAGAACACACAAATAAATACACACAAATAAGATGATGCCCCATATTTTCTCATATTTTCTGGGTTTTTGTCTTCCCGCCCAATTCCCATATTTCCCAATATTTTCTTAGGGGTGGACGATTAATTGTGTCTGTGTGTTTTTCCCCCGCCTGAACAACGACTGACGGCATTTGACTGTCTGGGCCTCTCCGGGGACCGCCAAAACACGACTCGGAGCGAGAAGCTGGCCCTGGAGAAGGTGTCGAGATTTCTGGGGGCCGGCGTCGTGAAAAAAACGCGGGATCGGGGGTCTGGGGCGGGGCTGGGGGGGGAGTGAGCGAGGAGAGGAAGGGAGAACGGTGCAGGTAAGGGGAGAGAGCGGGGAGGCCGGAGGAGAACGTGGGCAGTGATCTACGCCACGAGCATACATACACAGACATCCTCCGACGAATTCTGCACGTCACTTCAGAGAGGGCGGCGGTATACAAGGTCGCTCGCTCTGAGCGGTGATCTATACACCGCCACCCTCCCCTGGGGCCCAGGAGCAATCCGTTGGAGGGCGTCAGTGTGGACACGTTCATGGCGGGTGATCAAGGCCAGGAGGGAGGATGATGCGTCCGTCGGCGATGCATCGGCGCCATCGGCGTTGCAAAAATCTGGCTCCCGATCAAGGGGGGGGGCGTGGAGCGACAGGGCCGGGGAGGGGGAGGAGGGGGAGGGGGAGGAGAGGGGGAGGAGGAGGAGGAGGAGGAGGAGGAGGGAGGAGGAGGAGGAGGAGGAGGAGGCCGCCGCTTGGGGGCGCCCGGGGGCCGGGGTGGCAGATTGACGGGAAAGGCTGGCACGAACAGGGGGCCACATGCGAAATCCCTACCCCTGCCCCCCACGATTTCTGAGGGAGAGGGTGGGGTTCACTTCGCTCGGGAGCCCCCGAGCGAAGTGAACCCCACCCCCCCCTCAGAAATCGTAGTAGGCAGGGGTCGGGTTCCCATGTGGCTCCCTAAGGAAGACAGCGGGTCCCGAGGGGAACGGGCCCTGGATCCCAGGGCCTTCCCCCGGGACGAGACCTTCGCCGCGATTCCATTGTCACGCTCCGGGGGCCTGGGAAGGACTCGAAGGCCCGGAAACGTCGACACGTTTCCTGAAAACCTCTTAGTCTCAGAACCCGCTCACATCATGGCGAGTGGGGAGCGAGGGAAACAAGCGAGACCAGGGAAATAAGAACGAACGTGGGCACGGTCATCAGCGGTAGGCTGAGATCCGTTGTTTCCCTTCCGAGCGAGGGAAGCGCAATTACTTTTGTTCCTGACCGAACCCTGCTTCGGGCGGGCAACCCAACGACGATGTTGAGATACAGCTGCAAAGCGCGGCCTGGGGGTAGGGTGGGAGGTGGAGGCGTCAGAATGCTCAAAGACATCAGGAGCAAGGACGGCGAGAAGAAGAGGACGAGAAACGAAACGTTTCTGACAGCAGGCCCCATTTCCGTCCCAACCTACGCGGAGATTCCGACTGATTGGCACACATGTATCAAAACATGGGGGCGTTCGCCCGCATGCTTTCGGTGATAGGCCGATGTTCCACTCCATATAGGGAAACGATCGCGCAGTGGTGCTGCAAGGTTTTGTTCATCAATCCTCTTGGCGGACTAGTCCGAGCTCCAGCGCTGCGCAGGCGTAGGTGGCTGACGCCATGCCTTGCTGCGATCTGTCGGGTGCTCGAGCAGCACGTTGGGCGAATCGACGGTCCAGTCGGCTGTCCGTGGGAAGGATGCAGTCGAGCAGTTTCACCCCTTCTCGGATGGCTCGTCCGTATCGGACTCTCGGTTGGTCCTGTTGCTGGAGCCCAGAAGCCGCGCGTCCGCCTCGTTCGGCGTCCTGCGCGGCGCAGTCCTCGGCGCCCTCGGCGGCCCCGACCTCTGCGCGGCTGGAGACCGTGATCTCCGGGAGCACGTCGAGGGCGCTGCGATGGATCGCACCAGTACGTCGGCCTATGCCGTCGGCAGGCGTTCTGCTCCACTGTAGGTCCACAGGCGGTTCCACTCCAGGCTGGTCTATGACTTGGTCGAACTGATCGGCGCCAGCGCTGGTGGCTGCGGGGTCGTCGCCAAACCCTTGAGCCAGATGCCTGCGGCGCGTGGGCGCAGGGAGTCTGCTGGGATCGGAGACGCAGTAAGATGTGACAGCTGCTGCGAAGTCGGTGACATTCGGTGCCACGGCTTGCTAGCGGGGCAGCCATTCAGGTCAGGCGCACGAGAATCCCTGGTAAACGTAGCTCAATTTCTGTGTCGAGGCAGCGCCAGGCGACATGCCCCGAGTGATGTGGGCCGCACAGGGTGCTGTCAGTCCGGGCCCGCCACTCCAGCGCATGCCGACATGAAAATCGGAACGCGGCGGAGGTCGAAGTCGATGTTGTTGTCAAGACTCTCCGTACGGAACTGCCGTCGCTGCCGTTCCATGCCGGTTCGCTTCCTGTTGATGCCCTTTCCTGATGAATCGGCAGTGACCCTGCAGGTCAGACGCGCGAGGACCCTTGGTAAATGTAGCCCACGTGGCTGTTGAGATATCGCCTGGCAAGAGAGTGGCGTAGGCCATGCGAACAACTGTGGATCTGATTAATGGACCGTTGCGTGTTTCAGAAGTTACACTCGCCAGTGCGTCGCGCAGTCGGCGCTCCTCGGGAAATCGCGGCATGGGCCCAGGGTCGCGTAGAACGCGGCGCAGGCGCCCTCAATCTCTCGATGAATCGTCTCATCCCCCATCGTGCGTTCGCTGCTTCGGAGAAGCTTCTGCTGCCAGTACCCTGTGAAGCTCGGTGGGGTATGTCTTGGCAGCAGGCGCCGGGCGTCTGCGACTCCTCGCGGGCACTCCCCACGGACTCCGCAGGTCGTCGCCTCCGCGCGCGTTTCCCTGGGCGCGCATAGCTCGTTCTGGGCGCGCAGGCGCCTGTCACCTGCATCTCCCCATTTTCGCTGCAGGGGAGGATGTGGTCACTGCGTTCCTTGATCCGCGCCTCGGCAGCTCGTGCTTCGACGCTGGCGATGCGCTGCTCGGCCCCGTTGGCCACGTTGAAGTATGCGCGCCTCTCACTGGCCAGCCTTTCGGCCTCTCGAAGCTGCTGCTGCGCGGTGGCTCGGTCGCTGTTGCGGCTGGCGAAGTTTTGCCGCGCGGTCCTGAGCCCGCTCTGCAATTCTCAGCATGGTCGCGGCGTTCCGGCATATCCTTTGCGGTGCCCCTGATTGTCTCGAACTCCTCCTCCGTCCTCGCGATAGCTGCAATGTTCCTGATTTGCATGAGTGCGTGATGCGCGGCAAATTTCTCATTCGTCGTCCTTGAAGTGTCGATATCGTGCCTCAGCTCGATCCGGTAGTGACGGGCTTGTGATGTTGCCTTCCCTTGTCCTTCGCCATGCTCACGCGCGGTCTCTTCTGCCGCTCGTAGGTGCCTCTCTGTGGCGTGGCTCTCGATGTTGGCGTCGCTCGTGTTTCACGCGATGTCGCGGGCCATTCGTCGGCTGTTCTCTCTAGGTTTTGAATAGTCGGCGGACGTAGTGGCACTCAGCAATTTCCCCCGCCCTGTTTTGTCTTCTACAAGCTGGTGTAGGCGCCTTTTTCTGTGGCGCGCCCCTCTCTGGATTTTGGCTTCGTCATCGATGGCGCTTGCATCGCTGTAATCGTCGCCCCAGGCTCTGCTGATGTCGCGCTGCAAGGTGTTGGGCTCGTCGAGCTTGCTCTCCAACTCGTTCATGTAGTTCTCTGTATAACTATTGCGCGGCCTGGTGCGCTCGTAATAAATATTCCATACTCCGCTTGGCGTTGCCTATTTCCGCGGCCTGTCAGGCTAGGGGCACGCAGTTGAGGATCATACTTTGGTGAAAGCGGTCTGGGCGACTGCATCTGTTATTCGTGGTGGCTGCGGCTGATCGAGCTTGATCTTCTTCCAGTCGTTTACGAACTTGGGGTGGTTGGGCGGCGCTTCCCAGTCTGGCATCCGGACCGCGTAGATTTTCCGCATCGGCATCACGTTGTTGGTCACGTTGGCGACGTGGTCGTTGTATTTCTGGGTGGTGTCCTTCTTTTGTCCGTGTCCGCGCTGTCTTGTTCGAGTCGTGCATTGGCCTTCCCATTGCCCTTTTTGTCGTTCGCGCCCTTGCGGTTGCGGTTGTCAGGCTCCTGGGGAGGTGTCCTTGCCCTTGCTGTTGTTGCCCCTGCCTTTGTAAGCGGTGCTCCAGTGGGAGTCGGGGTGGTCATTGGCCCAGCTTGGCATCGCTCGGACGTCCATTCCCTGTGTGTTTTTGTTGGTTTCGAGCGTGGCTGCTTCGCCAAATGATCAAGGATGCTCCTCGATGGTCCTCGCGATGCCAAACCAGTGCTGGGCCCACTCATTGTTCTTCCAGCGCTCGAAGCCTGCTCCAATCGCCGGCGGAGTGGGGCGCGGCATGGGCCTTCTGGTTGGAGCGCAGCTCGTGGTTGGTCCTCGGGGTGGCAGCGCAGTTCCTGAACCACTCGCGGTTGCTCCCAATGGTGCTGCCAGTGTGGGACGACCCTGAGGTGGGTGTCGTCGTGGTGGTGGTTTTGCGCTGTGGTGCGCTTCGAGGAGTCCTCGCGCGGCTGCGACCCTGAGTAGCGTGCGCGTTGCTGTTCGTTGTCGCCTTTCGCCTCGGTGCCACGAGGGATCCCAGCTGGAAGCCGAGGCAGTAGTGGTGGTGTTCCGTACCGATATCAAAATCACACCTGAATCCTCAAGGCAGGGAGAAAGAATGTAAGAGGTGAGAGTAAATGGGACGCAGAAGCAGATGCGGGAGAACTGGCACAGGCGTGCGGGCGCCCTCCTGAAACGGGGGCACCGCGAAGGTTGCCGCCCAAAAGTATGTCGGGCACGCGGTTTCCTTCTCCTCCTCCTCCTCCTCCTCCTCCTCTCCTGCTCCTCCTCTGCTCCTCTCCTCCTCCTCCTCCCTCCTCCTCCTCCTCCTCATCATCATCATCCTCATCTCATCATCATCATCATCATCATCATCATCATCATCATCATCATCATCATCATCATCATCATCATCATCATCATCATCATCATCATCATCATCATCAGAATCATCATCATCATAATCATCATCATCATCATCATCATCATCATCATCATCATCATCATCATCAGCATCAGCATCAGCATCAGCATCAGCATCATCATCAGCATCAGCATCAGCATCAGCATCATCATCATCATCATCAGCAACATCATCATCAGCATCATCATCGTCATCATCATCATCATCATCATCATCATCATCATCATCATCATCGTCATCACCCTTCTCCTCATCATTAGCAACAGCACCACCATTAAAATCATCCATCACCCATTTTATCGTCGCCATAATTTTCCTCATCGAAATCATCGCCGCCCAACTCATCGACGCCACCGTGATCCTCGTTGGCATCCTGCGGTGAGGAACCGTCGACCAGCGGGCCGCGGCGTCGGACCCATGTGGCACGCTGTGCCTTACAAGCTAACAGCCCGTCGCTCTGCCTCGAGGGGCTGGAGGCTGGGAAGACCTCGGAACGCTGATGCCTTGCAGGTCAGGCTTCTGAAAACCTGGCTGGGGATCAGAATTCTAAGGATTTCTGCAGCCAAAAGAAAAACCAGCGGGACATCCGGTACCCCAACGACGGCTGGACCCGTAAGGGCAGTGCATGCAGTTGGTCGCACAGCTTGGGGACAGGGGCGGGCTTGGCGTGTCGGCCCGAGGCATGGTGGGCCATGACTGGCGGTGCGACACGCCAAACAAACTTTCCTGACAGCATCCTCATCATCACCGAAATCAATATCCTCGTCACTCGCCGTCGTCGTCGCCGTCTTGGTCGTCGTCGTCGCCGCCGCCGTCGTCGTCGTCAGCATCACCATCATCATCATCATCATCATCATCATCATCATCATCATCATCATCATCAGCATCAGCATCATCATCATCATCATCATCATCATCATCATCATCATCATCATCATCATCATCATCATCGTCATCATCATCATCATCATCAGCATCATCATCATCATCACCACCACCATCACCGTCATCATCAGCAGCATCATCAGCATCATCATCAGCATCGTCATCGCCATCGTCATCATCATCGTCATCCTCTTCCTCCGCATCATCATCAGCATCATCATCATCATCCTCATCCTCATCCTCATCCTCATCCTCATCGTCGTCATCTGTACTACCATCAACACCACCACCACCACCACCACCATCACCCTCGTTTTCATCGTCGTCATCATCACCACCACCACTAACATTACCATCATTGTCATATCCTCATCATCATCAGCATCATCGTAATCACCATCATCATCATCATCATCAGCATCAGCATCATCATCAGCTTCATCATCATCATCATCATCATCATCATCATCATCATCATCATCATCATCATCATCATCATCATCATCATCATCTTCATCAGCATCATCATCATCATCTTCATCAGCATCATCATCACCACCACCAGCACCATCACCATTCCGATCACCATCACCGTCGATCATCCTCAACACCGCCACCATCAACACCACCACCACCATCAGCGCAGCATCATCAGCATCATCAGCAGCAGCAGCATCATCATCACAACTCCTCCCCCCTCCTCTCCGAGACCAGCAATCTCCTGTGGGCCTTGTCGCCCAAGTGCCTCTGGAGCTCCGCGTCCGACCTGAAGGCCTGGGCTTGAGGGCCCCGCGGCCCAGGGCGAGGGCTGCCATGCAGCAGGCACGCACGATGAGAAATCTTGCCACGAGAGCTCGGGGGGCACACTCGCCGTCGAGATTTGAGCCTCCGGAGGTGCCTGATGGGCCCGTTTTCCACCACCACCACCACCACCATAAGTTGGAGGGGGGAAGGAAGAGGACGACGAAGAGGACGAAGAGGAGGAGGAGGAGGAGGAGGAGGAGGAGGAGGAGGACCCCCTCCCACCTCCAAGTTACGGTGGTGGTGGTGGAAAACAAGCCCATCGGTGCCCCCAGGGCTTCTGTGGCTCCCCAGGGCCACTGGGGGATCCGAAGTTACCATGGGGCCTCCTGGAGGCCTCTCGTCGCCACGGCCAGGTCCGTGCCGAAAAACGGGTCGGAACCGACTTCCAGAGGGGTCCGGGGACCGATTTTGAGCGGACGCGGGCCAGGAGGAGGAGGAGGAGGAGGAGGAGGAGGAGGAGGAGGAGGAGGAGGAGGAGGAGGAGGGAGGAGGAGGAGGAGGGAGGAGGAGAGCGGGCTGAGGGGCGCCGGGGGCCAGCGATGGCGCTCCTGGTGCCGACGGGTCGAGCGGGAGGGCGAGCGCCTGGGCCCCACGGTGGCGCCCCTCCGAGGCGGCGCCCATGCCGCACGCTGGCCAGCAGAGCAACGTCCTCCTGGCCAGGAGCCCTGCGGTCTCCTCGGACCTTTACAGGAGGAGTCTTCAGAAGTAGTTTAAAAGTAGTCAGGGGACCATGGTTGAGAATTCTTTCGGCACTTTGGATTAGTTTTGGGGGTAGTTGTATCTCGTGGCGACATCCACACACACACACACACACACTGCAAAAGTGGCAATCTGATGTGAGACGAGCACGCAGGGCAGCCCGGCAACGCCACACGAGAAGGCATCGTCAGCGATGCGTCGAGGGAGGAAAGAGAGAGGGGGAGGCAAGGAGAGAGAGAACGAGTCGAAGCCTGCCAGGCCGCCCGTTGGAAAGAGGACTGCCTCAAACGGACGGCGTTCGCGGCGACACCGACAGCGAGCCCTCCTGAGAATGAACAACACCTGCTGACGGTCTTCGCCATCGTCCCTGTTCTCTGCGGTCACATTTCGATCGTGCAAGAGTCGGTCACACGGTGACATGGATTACGTATCCGTGGATCTAGCGCGTGGTCGCCAGATCCACAGATCGGGAGAGGTACCCCGAAACATCATGAGGGCAATGCCGCCAAATTCGTCGACGAAGCGCTCCGCTTCCGCACGGCAACGGGAACGGTCACTGATCCACGCGCCTGAAATCCAGGCTTGCGTTTTCGTGATCTATACGTTCACATATCTCCATCGTACCGAAAGCGAGGCGAGACGAGGCGATTCCCAGTTCACCCGTGAGAGCGGCCGCCGATGCATCAGCGATGCATCAGCGATGCATCGGCACCGTCGGCGTGGAGAAAATCGGGCTACACATCGAAATGCATCGGCGATGGGGCGCGATCATCCGACACCATCTACTCGGACTGGTCCTCCGACACAGTCTACTCGGACCCCATTTTCAGGCATGGGAGTGGTCAGCCAATTCCCTCCACATGCTGTGCAAATCAACTCTGCCTCATCATCGATCCGCCTCTTATCGAGATGAGGAAAGGTTAGGAGGAATCCCGCTCAGAGGGAAATGCATCGACATGGAATCGGCGCTTCATCGCAGGCATACTGGCGATTGGCACCCGACAGCGAATCCGCACTTTCCTGGGGGGGGGGGGCCAGCGGGCCCCTATCGGCGATGCATGGGCGACAGGGGGCCCGCGCGACCCCTCCCCCGAGCACACCCCTCCCAACGCTGTCATGGGCCGGAGAGTCCTATCCGATCCCCCCCCCCGAAGCGTCTGCCACGGGGGAGGGAGGGGGGCCGCGAGCGCCAGGACATGCGCGTGAGCACTGGAGCATGCCCGTCAACACCACGGCCATGCCTGTGAGCACAATCGCCATGCCTGTGGGCTCCCCCCCCGCCCCCGTACGTTCGGCACTGTTACGGGAAAGAGGGAGCGGGGGGGGGGCGTCCCCCCGTAGCGGACGTCACGGGCTCGCCGAATGAGAAGAAGCAACCGACGCTGGGAGGAGGCAAGGAGAAGGGAGGAGGCAAGGAGGAGGGAGGAGGGAGGAGGCAAGGAGGAGGCAGGAGGCAAGGAGTGGGCAAAGAGGAGGGAGGAGGCAAGGACGGGAGGAGGAGATGAGGCGGCGGCGGGCCTTCCAACAGATCCTGCAGGTGTGGGGGCCCTCGGGCACGTCGGCCCCGGGCTCCTCGAGACAGGGGGGGCCTCCTCCCCCCTTCTCCCCCTTCCCCATCCTTCCTCCCCCTCTTCTTCCTCCTCCTCCTCCTCCTCCTCCTCCTCCTCCTCCTCCTCCTCCTCCTCCGCCTCCTCCTCCTCCGCCTTCTCCTCCTCCATTCCTTTCCTTGTAAATAACTTCTCCGTGTCGCACCCGAGGACAGATGTTAGGGTGGGCTGGGCGTTTCGCCTGAGACCTCCTCATCACTTATGACCCTGAAGCTAAAGTATCCCGGCAACGCGACCTAACAGCGATGTGTAGGAGCATACCTGGAAGCATTCCCCTCAAGATTCAGATGAGAATCCAGTTGTAGAATTCTGCTGTTCTCGCAGTCGTAATCGCATTCGCGATGACAGTCGCAGTGGCAACGGCAGTCGCAGCCTCAGCCTCAGCCTCAGCCTGCCTCAGCCTCAGCCTCAGCCTGCCTCAGCCTCAGCCTGCCTCAGCCTCTGCCTCAGCCTCAGCCTCAGCCTGCTTTAGCCTCAGCATCAGTCTGCCTTCAGCCTCAGCTTCAGCCTCAGCCTGCCTCAGCCTCACCCTACATCAGCCTCAGCCTCAGCCTCAGCCTGCCTCAGCATCAGCCTGCCTCAGCCTCAGCCTCAGCCTGCCTCAGCCTCAGCCTCAGCCTGCTTCAGCCTCAGCCTCAGTCTGCCTTCAGCCTCGGCCTCAGCCTCAGCCTCCTCAGCCTGCATCAGCCTCAGCCTCAGCCTCAGCCTGCCTCAGCATCAGCCTGCCTCAGCCTCAGCCTCAGCCTGCCTCAGCCTCAGCCTCAGCCTGCTTCAGCCTCAGCCTCAGTCTGCCTTCAGCCTCGGCCTCAGCCTCAGCCTGCCTCAGCCTCAGCCTGCATCAGCCTCAGCCTCAGCCTCAGCCTGCCTCAGCATCAGCCTGCTTCAGCCTCAGCCTCAGCCTGCCTCAGCCTCAGCCTCAGTCTGCTTAGCCTCAGCCTCAGTCTGCCTTCAGCCTCGGCCTCAGCCTCAGCCTGCCTCAGCCTCAGCCTGCATCAGCCTCAGCCTCAGCCTCAGCCTGCCTCAGCATCAGCCTGCCTCAGCCTCAGCCTCAGCCTGCCTCAGCCTCAGCCTCAGTCTGCTTCAGCCTCAGCCTCAGTCTGCCTTCAGCCTCGGCCTCAGCCTCAGCCTGCCTCAGCCTCAGCCTGCATCAGCCCCAGCCTCAGCCTGCCTCAGCATCAGCCTGCCTCAGCCTCAGCCTCAGCCTCAGCCTGCCTCAGCCTCAGCCTCAGCCTGCTTCAGCCTCAGCCTCAGTCTGCCGTCGGCCTCGGCCTCAGCCCTCAGCCTCAGCCTCAGCCTCAGCCTGCATCAGCCTCAGCCTCAGCCTCAGCCTGCCTCAGCCTCAGCCTGCTCAGCTCAGCCTCAGCCTGCCTCTGCCTCAGCCTCAGCCTGCTTCAGCCTCAGCCGCAGTCTGCCTTCAGCCTCGGCCTCAGCCTCAGCCTGCATCAGCCTCAGCCTCAGCATCAACCTGCTCAGCACCAGCCTGCCTCAGCCTCAGCCTCAGCCTGCCTCAGCCTGTCTCAGCCTGCTTGAGCCTCATTCTCAGTCTGCCTTCAGCCTCGGCCTCAGCCTCAGCCTGCCTCAGCCTCAGCCTGCATCAGCCCCAGCCTCAGCCTCAGCCTGCCTCTGCATCAGCCTCTCAGCCTCAGCCTGCCTCAGCCTGAGCCTCAGCCTCAGCCTGCTTCAGCCTCAGTCTCAGTCTGCCTTCAGCCTGCCTCAGCCTCAGCCTGCCTCAGCCTCAGCCTCAGCATCAGCCTCAGCCTGCCTCAGCATCAGCCTGCCTCAGCCTCAGCCTCAGCCTGCCTCAGCCTCAGCCTCAGCCTGCTTCAGCCTCAGCCTCAGTCTGCCTTCAGCCTCGGCCTCAGCCTCAGCCTGCCTCAGCCTCAGCCTGCCTCAGCCTCAGCATCAGCCTGCCTCAGCATTCAAAATGTGGCCCGGGAATGGAGTTCTGGGAACTCGAAGAACACGAAGTGGCCTACAGTTGGCTCCGGGCATTCAAAATGTGGCCCGGGAATGGAGTTCTGGGAACTCGAAGAACACGAAGTGGCCTACAGTTGGCTCCGGGCATTCAAAATCATGCCCAGGAATGGAGTTCTGGGAACTCGAAGACCACGAAGTGGCCTACAGTTGGCTCCGGGCATTCAGAATGTGGCCCGGGAATGGAGTTCTGGGACCTCGAAGACCACGAAGTGTGTAACTGTTTGCTTAAAAAAACGACTTCCGCGGATCCCTGTCCGGATGCTGCCCAGACCCCCCCGGGGAGTCATGATGCTCTCTTTTGACCCTATTAGAAACCAATCAGTCTTCGCTGTTAGGTAAAAATTGCAACAGCTTTACAAATGGAGGGCGGGTCGTTCGCGAAATGTGACTCTCGTCCCCGCGCGCCACCTGGGCCCCTCCACGTAACCACGCACGAAGGCCTGCAGCCCGCCATCAGCCCAGGGCGACCGCGCACGGCGGGGGTATTTTTTTTTTATCTATGTGGGCGCCGAGCGGGCTCGGCGGTTTCATGCATAAATTCTCCAATCAGCGCACGGCGAGCCCCGCCGCGCGGCGTGCGCGGGCGGCCGCCGACCCCGCGGCTCTCTCGCGCCCGCGGGCCGCCGCAGCAACTGCGAAGCCGCGGGCGCAGAGGGCGCCCTCGAGCCCTGGGCGGACCTGCCGCGGCTCTTCGGCCTCCGCCCGCGGGGCCGCCGCGACCAGGCGCCGCGGCGCCGCGGCGCGCGGCGGCGCTGCCGCCTGGCCCCCATCGCCAGCCGCAGGTGGCGGGGGCGGGGCGGCCGCAGGCTGCCGCTGCGATGGCACGGGCGCCGCCGCGAGCGCCTGCTCCTCCGCCCCGTGGCCCAGCCTGGCCTGGAGCGCCGTCGCCCAGCACAGGCGCGTGCTCTCCATCGGCGGGGCCAGCGGCGCGAACGGATCCTTGGACGCAGGCAGGGTGCCCCGTGCGAAGTCCGTCCGCGCCTGGGCTCGGGAGCCCCGCAGGGACGTGGGCTGCCCAGCCGCCGCGCTGGCCCCACACGGCATGGCCAGGCCGCGATGCGCGCACCTGGGGAGGCGGCAGTACCCCCAGCACGCCGAGCAGACCAGGGGGGGCTCGGAGCCGTTGCCCTCGACGCGCGACCCCCGTACGAGGTGGCCGTGGACCCTCAATCCCGCTGGACGGGCCGCACCAGCCGCCACCTCAGGGGCTGGGCCGCTGCAAGCCGCCGCTGCCGCCGCCCGCCGCGGGCTGGGCGCGGGCGCCGAGGCCTCGCGGCGCCTCGACTGCTCCTGCACCCTGCGCTGGGGTGCTCGGCGCAGCACCTCCGCGGGCCTATCGGCCAAGGCGGGGCGGCGCCTCGCGGGCGACGGCCGCGAGCAGGAAGCGGCCGCTGCCGCCACTGCTGCCAGGGCCACCGCCGTGGCGAGGAGGGGGCCGCCGTCAGCCGCCGCGGCCTGCGCCTCGCCGTCGCCAACGTCAGCCTCCGCGACGGGCATCTGCATGTTGCCAGCCGCTGACACGACAGGCCCGCGCACCTCCGCGTCGTGCAACTTCCCGAACTCGCCGCGCCCCTGGGACTGCGACTTCGGTGGGCTGAATCCACCTGTCCCAGGGGCGGGCTCCGCCGCGGCGGCGTGCAGGACGTCGACCTCGCCGTCGAACTCTGCCCCCAACTCGGCAGCTCGCAGCAAGTCGGCGGGGCTGCGACCTTGCCTCCAGCCCCCCCAGGCAGGGCACCTGTGGTGGCGGCGGGCCAGGGTCCCGCTCTCCTCGCCGCGGAGCTGGCACAGAGTCGCAGGCCTGGCGTCGTACTCCTGGACCGCTGCCTCCTTCCAGTCCTTCTCCTTGGCCTTCTCCGCAAAGAGGGCGGAGGAGTACCGCAGGGCGAAGCAGCGGCCGAACTCGCCCTGCTGGTAGTCGCCGTCGCCGTGGAGGCCCCTGTGTGACGCCCGCGCTCTTTCGATCGCCCGCAGGAAGGCCTGCCCTTGCGCAGTGGGCACCTGGGTCACCTCTTTCAGCGAGACGAGCTTCTTGTCTTCGAACGCGGCGCTGCCCGCCTGCTCGAACTTGTGCCCCAAGCTCCTGGCCACCTGCACCAGGTGCTTCATGTAGCCTACGTGCCCCACAGGGGGTGAGCAGCCCGCAGCAGCCGCTCTGAGCTGTCTGGCGATCCTCCCGAGGCGGAGGCGGCAACTGGTGAGGGGGCTGAGCTTCCTGACCGCCTTCCTGCGCTGCTGGTCCGCCAGCTTCTTCTTGACAGAGCGGGGTCCTTTGGCCCTGCCCTGGTACCACTCAGCCTCGGAGATGCCGAACTGGTCGGTCAGGTGGAGCTCCGCGGTCTCGACGGACTCCTTGAGCCTCCTGAACGGGAGCTCGAGGTAGGCGCTGACCTCCGTGACCGCGAGATCTCCGAAGGCCACCCTTCGGGCCAGGATGCGGGCACTGTGCTGGTGCCCGTCGTGGTCGGTCGCCGCCAAGCCCCAGGTCGTTGACTCCAGCACTCCTACGCCCTCCGAGCCCGCCTGCGCCGCCTGCCCCGTGCTGTGGACGCTGCCGAAGGCGGCGCTGAAGCTGTTGCTCCTGGCCCAGCAGCAGGCGTTGGCCGCCTTCTGGCTATAAGCGCATCGCCTCTCCTGCGCCAGGATGACGTCGTCACCTCCTCCATCCTGGATCCGCTTTATCACCGCCTTCTTCTCTGACCAAGTCGAGACGTTCAGCGTGACGAAGCTAGTTGGCTTCGGTCCCGTAGGCCTGATTTGCTTGGCCAGCTGGAGGGGCTTGGCCTGCGGTCGCCCAGGCTGAGGCTGGGCCGCAGGCTGCTCGGTTGCCGCGGCGGCCGCGGGGCCGCCAGGCGGGCGGCTGCTCGCCGCCTTGGGGCTCCGAACCTCAGGGGGTCTCACTCCCTCGCCCGTAGCCTCGTCAACTTGAATTGGGCACCCACTATGGCATGTGGGCCCCTGGCTAGGCTGAGGACTGCCAGTCCTTCGGTCGGGCCCAGCCAAGCCAGCCGCATCGCTTGGCTCTGTCCTGCTGCTGAGCGCCTCGAACTTGGTGTCGTGGCGCACGACGCCGAAGCGCCGTTCCTGGCGCAGCAGCGGCACAATGAAGGGAAGTTCGACCCAGGCGTCGGTCGCCACGTCGGCCGCATTGTAGGCGGGCAGGCCGCCACCCGGCGCCGCCGCCGCCTCTGAACGGCTGGGCGCCGCCGCCTCTGTCCCATCAGCCCCAACAGGGGCGGGCGGCGCCGCGCTGTCGGGGCCGCCGCCTGGCAGCAGGGTGCTACGCGCGGGCCAGGCCGCTGCCAGCAGCAGCGCCGGCAGGAGGTGGAGGGGCCGCCGCAGCGGCCTTCTGGTCGGCAGCGCGCTGGCGGGCCGCCTCGTCTGCCGCTCGGCTCTCCATCGCTGCCGCTGGGGGAGTCCCAGCTCCAGGCGCCGCGTCTGCGGCGGGGGCGGCGGGGGCAGCAGGGGCGGCCGCCTGCCCTGCAGGCTGCGGCGGGGCGCCCGCGCCCTGCACGGGGGTGCCAGGGGCCACGGCTGCTGCAGGCCCCTGCTCGGTGCGCTTGCGCTTCTTGGCCACCTCCTCCGCGATCTGGCGCTTGATGCGCTGCTGGTGCCCCTGGCAGTTGCGCTCGAACGTAGCCTGCGCGCCCTGCATGATCTGGAGCCCCTCATCGCAGAGGCGCCTGAGGGCGGCCTGCGCCTCCTCCTCCAGCTCGGCGAAGTTGTCAAACGACTCCGCGTCAAAGTTGAAGGTGAGCTGCCTCGCGCCGTCGGGCTGGGCTCCCACGACGCCCGCCGCTTGGGCACGCTGGCGCAGGAGGGCGTTCTCCTCCTCCTTGGCCTCCGCGAGGCTGCCCGCAGCCTCGTCACGCCAGCCGCGGCATTCAGCGAGGTGGTCCTCCGCCGCCACGAGCGCGTCCGCCGCCTCATCCAGCTGGCGCTGGAGGTTGATCCGCTTCGCCGTGGCCGACTCCAGACGTTGCTCGAGCGGCTTCGGCACTGGGGCGACCGCGGGCGCGACAAAGCTCCGCGCTTCGCGGACCGCCTCCTGCAGCCTGGCTGCGATGGCTGGGTCCCCACAGGCGAGGAGCGCGTCGAGCTCGCTCTCGGGCAGGGCCGACCAGGGGGCCCTCGGGAAGGCGCATCCGCCACGGCCGCCCGCGCCACCCCCGCCGCCGCCACGGGAGACTGCACCGCCGCCGCCACGGTAGGCTGCACCGCGGCCCTTGCCGCCCTTGCCGTCCTTGGCTCCATTCTTCGGTGGGCCTCCGCCGCCGCCGCCGCGATGTGCGAGTTGGGGTCCGCCGCCGCCACCGTCCGCCCAGACCCCAACGCGGGGCGAAGGCTTCGAGGGCGCCAGCTCCAGCCCGATCCCGCACAGCCAGCACTTCGCGTTCGAGCGGAAATTCCAGCGGTACCGGCAGCCCGTGCACACGACGAAGCCAGGCACGGCCTTAGGCCCCATCGCTGGTACGGTCGGGCGCGCTGCTCAGCTGCGGGCAAGCAGCAGGCAGGAGACGGCGGGGGCGGACCCGCCGACTCAGAAGAAGACTTGACCCGCAGGTCCTGGAAGGTGCTGCTGTGGCAGCTGACACACTTAGGAAAGGAAGGTGGCCTCAAAGCGGAACCTCCCTCGCGCTCAGAAGTCGCCCCGAAAGATTCGCGGTCGTCGGGACGGTTCATGACCTTGAGCCAAAATGGCTACGGACTACGGCGGGGGTATTGGATAAGGAAGCATTGGATAAGGAATCCAGGGTCTGGGAGCCAGCGGAAAGCCAATCGAGGCTCGGCCATGGGTATCACCGCCGCCCTCAGCAGATAAGGAACCCTCCAGGGTCTGAAGCCTCCTGGGCACCTTCCTCAACGAACGCCCCCACCGTACTACGCGTACACGCTCTAAAAGGCCAAAAGGCGCAGACCCCCAACTCACGGATTTCTTTGGGTGTGGCGCATGACTCCCGAGGCGTGTCGCGTGACTGTTTTCAGATGCTAGAGAGCGCCAAGGCGGCCGAACATTGTCCCACGATGGCCCCGAAAAGACCCTAGAGGGCCCTGACACGGCCCAAGAGTGCTCCCATACGGCCCACGACGGACCCCTGGCGGCTCAAGAGACCACTAAGACGCCTCAGGAATGCCCCAAGATGACCCCAAGAGAATCTCAAGAGGCCTAAATCACACGTGTCCCATGTGTGTAAACGATGTTTGCGTTCTCGCGATTTCGGGTTCCAGAACGCCGAAGACGTCCCGAGAGAATCACAAGATCGCCCGATCAGGCCCCAAGAGCCCCCAGACGGCCCGAGAGGGCTCCGAAACAGCCCAAGGAGACTTCAAAAAGGGCCCCAATAAGGACCCGACAAGAGGTAGAAAGCGAAGGAGGGGCCCTGGGAGCACTCTCCCCCTAAAGATTGCCCCCAAGACCCCCAACATTCCTCCGAGCACGCCCCAGGAGTGCCGAATTAAGGTCCCCAAAAGGCCTCCAAGAGACTGCCCGGGGTTTCCCAAGAGCCTCCCAAGAGGCTCCCAAGAGGCCTCCAAAGAGGCCTTCACTAATTAGGGGCATCCCGAGAGGCCGCAACTGGCATCCAAGAGGACGATGGGCCACAGCCCAGTCACGGTGGCGGGATGGGCCGACGGCCATGCGACACAACTCATACGCAGGCATCCGCCGACGAGTTATGGCGGCGGTGTATGAAATCGCTGGCTTTTAGTGGTTGTTTCTGCACTGTCGCCCTCCACTGATGCCCAGGAGCAATCCACGGAGGGGTGTCTGTACGTTACCTCAGCGAGAGGGTGCCCGATCATCTCTACGTAGTCCCTGCGCGCGTTCGTCCGTCCAGGAGTCGTCTCCCCGGGAGCTGCTCTTGGAGGCCACGCTGGGGGGCCACGCTGAGAGGCCACGCTGACCGCACCCTCTCTCCTGCTCGAAGCTGCGAGGCAAAGAAGTACCGATACCGCTACTCCCTGGACCTTTTCCTGGGGTGCGTGCTGACCAGCCCTTCGAGGAAAATCCGGCTGTGGCGACGAGGGCTGTCCAGGACGAGCAGCGGCAGCGATATCTCTGCCACCCCTAAGACCAAATAGAGTCAGGGGGCCCGAGCGGTCTCACGTCTTCCCTGCGCGCGAATGGCTGGATGGAGGTCTGGACCTGGGGGCGATACCTGGAGGGTCCAGACCCCTGGAGCCTCCAGGGGGCCTGGAGGTCTGGACCTGGAGGTCTGGACCTGGGGGCGATACCTGGAGGGTCCAGACCCCCTGGGGGCGATTCCCTCCCACGGGGGAGGTCTGAAATGGCTTGTCTTGGAGGGTCCAGCCCCCTGGACCATCTCTGGGGGGCGATACCTGGGGGCAAAACCTGGGGGCGATACCTTGGGGCAAGATGTCGGGGCAGTGCATGGAAGCAAGGCTTGGAAGCAGCGCGTGGGGCAGCACTCTCGCCCACGCCGCCGCCCCCCACTCTTTACCTGCAAGTGAAGGGTGCTACTCCAGATTTCGTAATAAAAGGGAGGGGGTCTCATTTCGGGGGGGGTCTCTTCCAGGCTATCTTGGAGGGCCTGGGGGGGTCTGGGGACGATGTTTTGGAGGATTCTCCCACGGGGGGGGGGTCTGAAATGGCTTGTCTTGGAGGGTCCAGACCCCCTCCATTTTATTACGAAATCTGGAGTACGTATTTGTGTGGCCGAAGGACCAAGACTTTAGGGATGAAAAAACGACCCTGCCCTGGGTTACAAGTGCGTGGTCTGTAAGCCTCCTGGGAACCCCCAAAGCCTCAAGGACGCCAGGGCGCCGCACATCGCGCAGGGTTTACCCCGGCAGTCCACAAAAGTTTCAGCGCACGGCGCCTCGTGAACCAGGGTAGGGGCGTTTTTCATGCCCTTGACGGTGGACGTTCGCCTCGATGTCGTCCAGTAGCTCCGTGGAGTTCCCGCGGAGAGTGTCGAAGGACGTGTGTGTGTGTGTGTGTTTGTGTACCTGCTGGGATAATCCAAGACTGTTCCTGGACGGTGTCCCAGTAGATCGACGACGCCGGATGAGGTTGCACTCGCAGTAGCGATGAGCCGTCTGACCGGGCTCCGTGTTCCTTGCCCAGCCGATACGAGCCCAGTCCTCATCTTCCCGGTAGGGGCGTTTTAAGGCCCTTGAAAGACAGACAGCCAGCAGCGCCCCCGCCGGCAGCCCGCCCCACGCCGCGGCGGCGAACGCGCCCGCGTCCTCGAGGAGACGCGCCCAGTCCTCTCCGTCCGCCAGCCACTCCTGGCGGCCGCGGGCGGGACCCGTCAGAATCGGATCGGTCCTCTTTGCCTTCTGCTCCTCCTCCTCCTTCCGCCTCCTTCTCCTCCTCCACCTCTTCCTCCTCCTCCTCCTCCTCCACCTCCTCTTCCTCCTCCTCCTCCTTCCGCCTCCTCCTCCTCCTCCTCCTCCTCATCATCATCATCATCATAATCATCACCACCACCACCACCACCACCACCATCATCATCATCATCATCATCATCATCATCATCATCATCATCATCATCAGCATCAGCATCAGCATCAGCATCATCAGCATCAGCATCATCAGCATCAGCATCAGCATCATCATCATCACCATCATCACCATCATCATCATCATCGTCAGCATCAGTGTGATACTCATACACATCATCGTCAGCAGCATCATCATCATCAGCAGCAGCATCACCACCACCACCATCATCATCACCACCACCATCATCATCAGCAGCAGCATCATCATCACCCCCGCCGCCACCACCACCACCATCATCATCATCCATCCTCATCAGCAGCATCAGCATCATCATCATCAGCATCATCAGCATCATCAGCATCATCAGCATCATAATGATCATCATCATCGTCGTCAGCATCATCGTCATACTCATACTCATCATCATCATCATCATCATCATCATCAGCATCATCATCAGCGGCAGCATCAGCATCAGCATCAGCATCATCATCAGCATCATCATCAGTATCATCATCACTGCCACCACCACCACCACCACCACCATCATCATCTTTCCTTTCTTCCTTCCTCATTATCCTCTTCCTCCTGCTCATCCTCCAGCTCCTCCTGCTCCTCCTCCTCCTCACATGTACGGTAGGATGTCAGATGTGGCGCGAGCGCATCTTCCTCGGGCAGGTGCTGAGGAGGCTGTCGTCGCCCGAGATCAGCCAACATCGTATCGGGCACGGAGCTGGAACCGAATCGGCCGGGAGCTGGAATCGATGCATTTTCGTGTCAAGGAAGACCAATGGTTTCAAACTGAAGGTCTGACTTTAGCGCCGCGCACATCTGTTTCCCTTTCAAAAGTTACAGACACGGAGGCTGGCTCGTGTTCAAAATGCGGCTGACTTGAGACTTCCTCGACCCCTGCGAAGCGAAATTTCACATTGTGCAACAATTACAATGATGGAGGGTGGCTCCTTGTCAAAATGGGATTCCCGTTTGAAACTTTCGCCACCGCTTATGACCAAAGTCCCATGTGACTGCGCAAGGCGTACACGAACAGAGAGCAGATCCTTTTCAAACCAGGGCCCTCGCTGGATAATTTCCTGGGACCTTAGAACTCGTTCCTCCTGCCTTTTTGCGCTCCTTTCAGTGGCAAAGACGGGCATGGATCCTTTACGAAACGGGGTCCCGCCTGAGCGGCAGGTCCAGCGGGAGCTCGTCATTCGACGGGAGCGCTCCCCAAAGTGGACAAGAATACTTATAGGGACTTGCTGGGGGGGGGACTCGGGGCGGGAGGGTGTATTGAAGCATCGATGACGCATCCTGGCTCACCCTGAATACAATCTCCCAGGGCCTCCTGGGGCCTCCTGGGGCCTCGTGGGGCATTACGTGGCCTGCTGCTACTTTCTAGGGCCCAGGGCCTCCCAGGGCCTCCTGGAACCTCCCAGGGCACCCTGGGGTCCCCAGGGGGTTCCTGGACCCTCCTGGCACCTCCTTCGGGGAGGAGCACTGGGAGGAGCGCCGGGAGGGCTTCTTGGGCCGTTTTGGGGGCGATATCGCAGGCCCATCGGGCCGGCTTGGACGCTGCGAAGATTCAAAAACGCGGGGCTCCGTCGTCCCGAAGCGGGGCGAGGGCCAGGCGACCGTGTGCGTGGAGCCCTCCGGCCGCGAGCCTGCCTGCTCGGCCACACGCCAGGCACTTGGACCCTTCTGTCGGGCGTGTCCCCCTAATTACATTTTGGGAATTTCGACGAAACATAAAAAATACACCAAAAAATACACATTCCAAAATGGTCAAAGAATGCTTGAAAACATTTTAAACATTTTTGTGTGTATATATAATATCATACATAATGTATACAATAATAATAATAAATAAATAAATCAATAAATGAATAAATAAATAAATAAATAAGTATATATATAAACAAACATTACTACGTCTTCTCCTATGTTTGAAAATTCCTCCTGTAGAGGGACGTGCCCGACTTAAGCCTGCTGGGACCTCCTGAATCTCCTGGGCCCGCTGCTCCCGCTCCTGGCTCCGCGGCGCCGGGCGCTGCAGAACATCGATTATGCACAAACGTCGCTCCTTTCATAGGAAGAAGACGCGTGCGCAGAACGCCGCCGCACTGGATTCGCCAACGGAGCTATGGACTTCTGGACGCCTGGGCTGCGGGGTCACCCTCCCTGGGGCCTCCCGGGGCCTCCTGGAGCCTACTGAAGGGGGGAGGGGTCGGAGCCCAACCGCAACGGCTCGTCCGAGTCCCACTCCTACCTCCTCTTTGTTTTTCCTCCTCACTTTCCTCCCCTCAATTCTGTACATGTGTCATTTCCTGCTCCTCCCCTTCATCATCCTTACTCCGCCTGCTCTTCCTCCTCCTCCTCCTCCTCCTCCTCCTCCTCCGCCGCCACCGCCACCGCCACCGCCACCGCCACCGCCACCGCCACCGCCACCTCCTCCTCCTCCTTCATCATCATCCCTCGATTCCTGCTACTGCTCCTCATGCTGATTCACCTCATTCTGTCCTACCTCCAAACGCTCCTCACCGACCTCCTAATACTCCCTCACTCCTCCTCCTTCCTCCTCCTCCTCCTCCTCCTCCTCCTCCTCCTCCTCCTCCTCCTCCTCCTCCTCCTCCTCCTCCTCCTCCTCCTCCTCCTCCTCCTCCTCCTCCTCCGGACTCGTCGGACCACTTGGGGACTCTTGGGGCCTCGTCGGACCACTTGGGGAACCTTGGGGCCTCCTGTGGGCCTCTTAGGGCGGAAGGCTCTGCTGCTGGGTTCGCGTTCCCCTTATCAGGCCTCTCTTGGGGCCATCTCGGGGCCCTCTAGGGCCATCTTGGGGCGCCTCAGGCACTGTCTTGGGGCCCTCGTGGGCCGTCTTGGGGCCCTCTTTGAGGCCTCTTCGGATATCTTGGAGCGGTCTTGGGAGCCCCTTGGGCCGTCTTGGAGCGTCGGGATGCCAAAAAGGCTGAAAACTTAAAAATCCATCAAACACCGCCGGCAAAACAATGAGGTGTGCCTCTTCGGGCCTCCTCTTGGAACCTCTTCGGCCGTCTGGGGAGCCTCTTGAGGGCCTCGTGGATCCTATTGGGGGCCTCTTCGGGCTTCCTGAGAGCCTCTCGGGGTGTTAGGCTCGGATGTTCGGTTCGTCTTACCCCTCTTGGGCCCTCTTGAGGCCGTCTTGGTGCCCTCTCGGGCCGTCTTGGGCGCCTCAGGCACCCTCTTGGGGCCCTCGTGGGCCGTCTTGGGGCCTTGTTGGAGGCCTCTTGGGCTATCTTGGAGCGGTCTTGGAGACCTTGTGGGCCGTTTTGGAGCGTCGGGACGCCCAAAGGCTGAAACCACGAAAATCAATCGAAAACCTGTGGCACGACAATGATTTTTGCCTCTTGGGGCCTTCGTGGGACCTCTTCGGCCCCCTGGTGCGCTTCTTGGGGCCTCTTGGGGCCTGTTGGGGGCGTCTCGGGGCCTCCTGAGAGCCTTTCGGGGTGGAAGGCTTGGATTTTCTGCCTCTTGGCTCCCTCTTGAGGCCGTCATGGGGCCCTCCCGGGCCGTCTTGGGCGCCTCTGGCGCCGACTTGGGGCCCTCTTTGGTTGTCTTGTGACCGTTTTCGAAGCCTCTGGGGCTGTCTTGGAGCGGACATTGGGGCCTCTTGGGCCGTCGTGGAGCGTCGGGAAACAACAAAAACACACACACACAAAAAACAAAACTCGTAATATGTGCCTCCTGTGGAAGCATCTTGGAGGCCTCTTGGGGCCTCTTGGAGGCCTCTTGCGGCCCTTCTCAGCAATGGTAGGGCTGGGAGCGGCCCTGGGCCGTCTCGGCGCCCCGGTGGAAGCCTGTTTGGATGATTTTCGGGTGTCCTGGACCGTCTTGGAGCGTCGGGGGGCCGAACAAGCAGAAACGCTAAAATGCACCAAAAACCTTAGGAAAATCAATGATTTGGGCTTCTTGGAGCCCTTTTTGGTGTGCTCGTTGAGTCCCCTTGGGACGTGTTGGAAGCCTTTTGGGCCAGCCAGAGGCCAACTTGGGCGTGTTAGAACGATAGTTCGGTGACCGAAACTCTCTTGGAGGCCTCTCGCGGCCCTTTTCAGCTGTGTTGGGGCTGTCTTGGGCCGTCTGGAGGTCCTGGGCCGTCTCGGCGCCCTCGTGGGGGCCTGTTGGGGCGACATTTGGGTGTTCGGGACCGCTTGGGGCGTCGGGAAGCCGAACAAGCAGAAACTCTGAAACATGCCCAAAATCAAGGGAAAGTCAATAAGTTGGGCTTGGGGCCCTTTGGGGTGTGCTCTTGGGGACCTCGTGGACCGTATTGGAAGCCTTGTGGGCCATCTGGAGGCCATCTTGGGCGTGTTCGAGCGAGATGTCCGCGTTTCGGGGCCTCTTGGAGGCCTCTTGCGGCCCTTTTCAGCAGTGACGTGGGCATCTTGGGGCCCTTTTAGAAGTGCTCTCTGGGGCCCCTTGGGCCGTGTTGGAAGCCTTTGGGGCCATCCGCATCTTGGGCGCGTTAGAACAATATCTCCGCGACTGTAGGCCTTTTTTTCCCCCCCCCATCGGGGCTCAGAAGGCTCCAGGGGGTCCCAGTAGAAGGCGGTCAACTCCTTGGTCAAGCAGTTCAACACGGTCGTGGCGAGGGGGGGGGGCCACTGTCCGAGGGGAGCTCCCACCTGCTCCCACCTGCCGCGCGGGGTGCCAGGCATCCGCGGCGGCAGCGTTCCGCGACTGTAGGCCTCTTGGAGCCCTCTCGCGGCACTTTTCAGCTGTGTTGGGGCGGTCTTGGGCCGTCTGGGGGCGTCCCTGGCGGCACTGTCCCTCCATGGAGTGTCGGGGACCCCCTCCTGGACCCCCCCACCTCGTGCGCTGGAATATATATATATATATACACACACACACATATGTATACATATACATATACATATATATATATATACACACACATGGAGAGAGAGAGAGAGAGACACACACACACACAGACAGACAGACAGACAGACAGACAGACAGACAGACAGACAGACAGACAGACCTACCGACCTACCTGCCTACCTACCTACATACATACCTACATACCTACGTACGTACATACCTACATGCCTACATGCCTACATACCTACATACCTACCTACCGACCTACCGACCTACCTACCTACCTACCGATGTACGGAACTACAAACCGACCTACCGACTTACCTACATACGTACATACGTACATACATACATACAACAAACACACACACACACACTCATAGACGTATATACAGAGAGAGATGTACAAATATGTGTATATATACATATATATATATATATGTACATATATATACACACCATATATACATGTGTGTATGGATGCGTGTATGTATGCATGCATGCACGCATGTATGCATGTATGTATGTGTATAAGTGTGGATGTGTATGCATGCGTGCATGTATGCATGCATGTATGTATGTATGCAGGTATGTATGTAGATGCGTGTGATCACATACATATGTGCAATTCTGTGTATTACATATATGTGCGTTTGCATTGCTGTGTACATCTATACATGTAGACATAAACATACCGATAGAAAACCTCATACACCTTGGTATATGTCTATAAAAGTGTGCGAGGGTGACGATACGCAGCACAATGCATAGCCGTGGGTATGCGCTAAGGTGAACATCATGACGATGATGGTGATGGTGATCATGGTGGTAATGAGGATGATGGTGAAGCGGAGGAGGGTAAGGAGACAAATGTCTCAATTTCACCCTCCTCCTCTGACCCCTCCCCGTCGTGATCGTCCTCGCCGGCCGCCGCTCCTGAGGCGGAACGTTAGTGGGTGACCGGCTCACGGGGGGGACACCGACCTGGAATCGACGATGTATCTCCGACAGATCGGCGATAGCCCCCCGATAGCTGATCCAAACGTTCCTGGCTGGGGTTGGCTATCGGGCCCCTATCGGCAATGAATTGGCGATTGGGGGGTCGATGCATCCCTCCTAAGCAAGCCCCATCAGGTGATCCTCATCGTCAGGTTTTCGGGTCATCAACAACTCGGGTCGCCAGAAGCCATTCGGGACGATCCAGGCAACCCCGGAACGCTCTCGGCAAGGCGCAGCCGCCGGAAGGTACCCCGAGGCTGGAAAACCGATGAGAAACGACGAAAACGCCCGAAAACCTCAAACCTCTAACCTCGAAACTTCGTCCCCCCCTGAGCCTGTCCCCACCATAATGGGCGGGCCCCACGGTCCTTCAGCCAGTCCACGCCACACGGCCGGTCGTCCCAGAGGTCCTGTCCCCGGCCAGCATTATCAGGACTCTCGAGGCGCGCGAGGGGGGCGGCGAGGAGCGAAATGGCAGAAACAAACAAAGATAGAAATATCCTGGCGAAGGACCCAACCATACGCAATTGTGAATAACGCTTTGTGGGTGCCGCTTTCGGTGGGGCTCCTTATGGGGCCACGAAAGGCGTGCCACGAAACGCTGTCCTGGGCGTACGGGACGCATGAGGGCGGTAGCACTGGGGCCTTCGGTGGAGCTCCCTATGGGGCCACGAAACGTGTGAGGGGTGTGCCGAAATGGGTGCGGCGCCGCCATGCGAACGCAGCCACTGGGGCCTTCGGTGGAGCTCCCTATGGGGCCACGAAACGTGTGAGGGGTGTGCCGAAATGGGTGCGGCGCCGCCATGCGAACGCAGCCACTGGGGCCTTCGGTGGAGCTCCCTATGGGGCCACGAAACGTGTGAGGGGTGTGCCGAAATGGGTGCGGCGCCGCCATGCGAACGCAGCCACTGGGCCTTCGGTGGAGCTCCCTATGGGGCCACGAAACGTGTGAGGGGTGTGCCGGTTCCAGGGGTGGAGCTCCCTATGGGGCCACGAAACGTGTGAGGGGTGTGCCAAATTGGGTGCGGCGCCGCCATGCGAACGCAGCCACTGGGGCCTTCGGTGGAGCTCCCTATGGGGCCACGAAACGTGTGAGGGGTGTGCCAAATTGGGTGCGGCGCCGCCATGCGAACGCAGCCACTGGGGCCTTCGGTGGAGCTCCCTATGGGGCCACGAAACGTGTGAGGGTGTGCCTGCGGCGCCGCCATGCGAACGCAGCCGCTGGGGGTGGAGCTCCTTATGGGACCACGACACGTGTGACGGGTGTGCCAAATCGGGTGCGGCGCCGCCATGCGAACGCAGCCACTGGGGCCTTCTCCCTATGGGGCCACGAAACGTGTGAGGGGTGTGCCAAATTGGGTGCGGCGCCGCCATGCGAACGCAGCCACTGGGGCCTTCGGTGGAGCTCCCTATGGGGCCACGAAACGTGTGAGGGGTGTGCCAAATTGGGTGCGGCGCCGCCATGCGAACGCAGCCATTGGGGCCTTCGGTGGAGCTCCCTATGGGGACACGAAACGTGTGAGGGGTGTGCCAAATTGGGTGTGGCGCCGCCATGCGAACGCAGCCACTGGGGCCTTCGGTGGAGCTCCCCATGGGGCCACGAAACGTGTGAGGGGTGTGCCGAGATGGGGTGCGGCGCCGCCATGCGAACGCAGCCACTGGGGCCTTCGGTGGAGTTCCCTATGGGGCCACGAAACGTGTGAGTGGTGTGCCGAATTGGGTGCGGCGCCGCCATGCGAACGCAGCCGCTGGGGCCTTCGGTGGAGTTCCTTATGGGACCACGAAACGTGTGAGGGGTGTGCCAAATTGGGTGCGGCGCCGCCATGAGGTGGTGGGGACACGAAACGTGTGGGTGCCGTGCGCCGCCATGCGAACGCAGCCACTGGGGCCTTCGGTGGAGCTCCCCATGGGGCCACGAAACGTGTGAGGGGTGTGCCGAAATGGGTGCGGCGCCGCCATGCGAACGCAGCCACTGGGGCCTTCGGTGGAGTTCCCTATGGGGCCACGAAACGTGTGAGTGGTGTGCCGAATTGGGTGCGGCGCCGCCATGCGGACGCAGCCACTGGGGCCTTCGGTGGAGCTCCCCATGGGGCCACGAAACGTGTGAGGGGTGTGCCGAAATTGGGTGCGGCGCCGCCATGCGAACGCAGCCACTGGGGCCGTCGGTGGAGCTCCCTATGGGGCCACGAAACGCGTGAGGGGTGTGCCGTGATAGTGGGAGGAGGGAGGAGGGAGGGGGGAGGAGGCGGAGGAGGAGGAAGGAAGGAAAGAGAGGAGACGCGGGGCACCGTCTCAAAACGAGGACCCAACACCACAGGATGGTTGGGAAAAAAAACAGCATTCGCATAAACTGTCGGAGCTGCGCGCGGATTTGTTAGATCGGCGTTTGATCCCCTGGCGGCGCCTGGGAGGGTTATGCATATGACAGAATGGTGGGCCGAACGGTCATTCACTGTCCCTGGGTCCGTGGCTGAAGTGGGATTACGCCGTACGGATTGTTGTTGAGTTGTTGCGTTGCGTTGCGTTGCTGTCATCGTCCTCGCCCGCGACCCGCCCCGCGACCCACCCTGCGACCCACCCGCGACCCACCTGCGACCCACCAGCGTTGCTTTGACTAAAAACTGGCGCCTGCGGCGGGTTCGTGCTGTACTATGTGAAAGGATCGTCGCCTGCGGCGCCTGCGGCGGGCTTTTTAAAAACTTCGCAAACTGCCGACGACCCCGCCACCGTCTCACTCTTATCCGCAGCTACGGGGTGTTATGTAAGTTGTCCTTCCTCGATCAACCCTGCCCGACGTTCGCGCATACTTCGGGGTACCGAATCGGCGCGGTGACGGACCAGGCGGTGACTTCGGAATCCCCAGAGGCCTCCTAGCACGGTCTGTAACCGCACGGTCTCGGGACCTCGGAGGACACAGTCGCCCGAGACATCCTCGGAGAGCGACCCACGTCGCAAAAAACGCGCGGCCACTCGAATCCCCACTGACTCACCCTCTTGTGTCGTCGGCGGCGAAGCAAAAGAGCTGCACCAGCGATGAGCAATCGGGGCGACCGAAATGCGACTTGGCCGGCACGCAGGAGAAATGGGACTAGAAAAAGTGGGCGGCCGCGCAGGACAGGAGGAGGCGGAGAGCACTCAGATGCGGAAGAATTCCACACAGAGCGCTCCGGCGCGGCCAGCAAATGCAGCGGGGGCCGTGGCAGCAGCCCGGCCGCGGCGTGGGCGGCAAAACTGGGGCCGTGAGACCCGTGAAGAACAAGGTTCCAGCTCGCCCAGGTTTAGGTCGGGCGTGTCCCCCCACAGGGGGATTTTCGACTCAAAAAATAATCCCCCGACTATGTTTGGATTATTGTTTGACTATTTTGGTGGTATTTTTTTGTTTCGTCGAAATTCCCCCTGCAGGGGGACAGGCCCGACTTAAGCCCAGGTGGCCTTCGCCAGGGGCGGGGCTGGTCCGGCAGCCAGAGAGGGGGAGGAGGAGGTAGGAGCACCTATTAGTCGGTGCAACAGCACGTGGAGCCAGGCCACGCACCGTCCGGGGAGGACGGGGCGCGGCGGGACTGGGGGCACGTGGTCGGTGCAACTTCTTGCTCAGATCAGGGCACACACCGCCCGGGGAGGACAGCGCGCGGCAGAACTGGGAGGAGAGGGGAGCCCTCCATCGGTGCAGCACCCTGCGGGGAACGCGCCGCGCACCGCCCGGGGAGGACAGCACGCGGCAGAGCAGATGGGCCACGCTCCGTCCAGGGAGGACAGCGCGTGGCAGCACTGGGCGCACCTTGTCGGTGCAACTTCCTGTGGGAAACAGCGCTTCGCATCGCCCAGGGAGGGCGGCGCACAGCCGGGCCACTGACTCGCCACGGGGCGTGGTCACCGCACCCTCCGCGGGCCCCCTACACGCCGGCGCCCCACGGCACAAGCACGCGGTTCAAGCGTGGCAGTCACGGTGGGGAGTGTCGGGAAGGACGGAGGGGAGGTGAGCACATGGGGAGGGCCTTGCCGGCGCGCAGTGGGGTGGCGCGAGAGAGGGGCGGCATCCCGAAGGCGGGGCCATCTCGGAAGCGCCTGGGTGTGTCTGAGGCCTCGCAGGGGCCAGGAGGGCCTCGAGACGGCCGCTTGCCATCTGATCGGGCACACGCTGACCGCTGGCACAGCTGACGGATCCGTGGATCTGGCGCGCGGGAGCCAGATCCACGGATCGGGGACAGGCCCGAAACACGAAGCCGCGCCAGCGCCGCCCGATTTGGCGACGGAGCGCATCGATTCTGCACGGCAACGGAACCAGTCGCAAATCAACGCGCCTTCATCCATGGATTCGTTTTCTAAATCTTGGAAGCACCCCCGCCCTCTTGCAAGGCCGTTCCCCCGGGTGCTCCCCCCTACACACACGTACAATCATACACACACAAAGAAACAAACACACACACACAGACACACAAAACACACAACACACACGCAAACACACACACACACACACACAAACACACACACACAAACACACAAACACACCTTTATAAATATACATATATATATATATATGTATAAGACAACCTGTACGCGCCGCCAAACGAGGACCCCAGGCACGAAAGCGTAGGCTGCCGAAGACTTCGAAGCGGGGATCTACCATATCGAAACGGGACCAGCGGCCAAGGCACGTGACGCCCCCAGGAAGAAGACGCCCCTGAGCAAGCCCACTGTTGAAAACGTGGTTGCGCTCAAAATTTGAATTGAAATCCGCGGACCCTGCTGGCGTGCGTGGGGCGTTTTTCCGACTGAGCCGTCGTCGTCTTCGCCGTCGCCGCTCCCCCCTGTCCCTGGGCCCTCCCTCAAGCGATGCAGCCAGACGGAGATCAAACAACGTCTTAATCGATTCGAAGGGAAGCCCCTTCCTTGGATCCCTTCGCTGTCCGGGGGGGGGGGCCCAAGGTGCAGTTGGTGAGTTGAGCGCGGCAGGGCAAGCTTGCGCATCCGCGACCGTTCTGGCTCGAAGGGAGTGGCCATCCCTCAGGCGTGACGGCACACGGAGTTTTGAGGAGCCGCGCAAGGCGGCCGATGCAGAGAGTGGATTGAGACTAAAACAAATTGAGTCGTGTTTCAGACATCGTGAGGACTACCGCAAGAATACCTACACAATGGAGGTCCCCGAGAGAGTCTCAAGGAGGGACTCGGGGGAGGGTTGCCGGGGGGGCGTCCCGGGGGACCCGTGGGGGGGGCCCTGGGGAGAGGTGTCGTGACCTCCCCACCGGGGGGACCCCCTGTGGACACAAGGGAAACAGGGCTGTGGACAGGATGAACTCAGGACCCCTCCCCCCGCCTCCGCCCTGTGGGCAAGGAGACCACCACCACCACCACCACTCCTCCCGGACCCCCTACCCCGGAGGCACCCTCCTCACCCTTGTCTGCTCTTGCG